CGACGACGCTCGCGCGTGCACTTTGTTCTTGTTGTTGTTTTGTTTTCTGAGGTTTTTGAACATTGATGATTTTTGATGCGCGAATGAGCTGACGGGGGCCGATGCGAATTTTGATGGGATCGAGTGAGTTCATTCCCAACGAAGGACGGGGCAGACTCATATGTAAACTGCACATCCACTGAGGGGGATAATCCGGGCATCGGGGGAGGCGGTCGATCCTAAATTTTCTAGAACGGAGGACCAGCGCGGTGCAGTCTACCAGGTACAATTATGTGGTGCAAATGATTGATGTTCGCAGTGGCTCATCACTCCCACTGCTCGCGCAATCATCCCACACGCGCGCCCACAACTTGGGTTGCAAAACCCACGAAGCGGCAATTGTGATGCCTGCTTGGCGCTGGTTGGCGCACCGCTGAAGCCGCGCAAATGCGCGCAGGTTCGCGCGCACAGCGGCCAGCTAGTCTGGCACGACCGACGCGGCCGCGGTGGCGCTGACCGCTGGGGAATTTCCACCTCCCACAGGCCGCGCACACGCGCAAACACTTCGCTGCGAGTCGATGAATCGGGCGGGCGCGGTATCATTGCGACGTCAGCGCTGGCAGGCGCGATGATGATTGCAGCGATGCTACTTACGACGATGACGACGAAAACGGCAAGGCGCATGACGGCGCCGATGTTGATCACGCCGACTACAGTGATGGTGTCCACGCGTCAACGATGAAGTGTTGGCAAGATTCAGGCATGCGCGAGCAGCCGACGGGCGCGTGTGGCCCGCGTGGAATTAGCTCACAGGGATCGTGCCCTCCCCCCCTTCCCCACCCCAGCACGCGCGCAAGGGCGGCCGGATGATCTCGAAATGCGCGCGCATAAGGCCCGTTCTGTCGAATTTGAAGAACGCGTGGACAGCCTATGGTTTTCTCGCAAGTCGCAAGGGTTTGCGCAGATCGTATGTTCGAAAACTGGTGTTGACACACGCGGTGTCCAGTGAAATCGACGTTGGAATCCTTAACGACACCCACGTGGTTTGCAATATTTACGCGTGCGCGCGACGACGCACGCGTGTGTAATTTCTTAATCAGTTCTCACGAAATGGATTATTCTGAAAGATTCGGAATTGTGATCATTCGGATGGGGCATTTTGTCTCTTCCACCCTTGAAATAGGTGCTCGATGTTGGCACCTGGTAATGGCGGCTGGTATGCGGGTAGCGCATACGGGGGGGTCTACGCATGTGGGTCAGACGTCCCATCATGTGGGACGACGAATGGGGGGAGTGAGAAGGAGAAGGCCTTTTTCAGAAGGGGGCGAGACTTCTCAGAGGCTCTCGCGTCCTCTGAGAGGATCCTCAATCAATGCTTAAACTGAAGGGGTCCTGGCGGATATTGAAGGATTTGGTGAAAGCGCTGGGCCGATTTAGGTCGCTGACTGGGTTCCCGGGATCCCGGGTTTCCGGGTTCCCGGTTCCAGGCTCCTGGGTTCCCAGCTGCTGGTTCTGGGCCAGTTTCGGTGGGCGGCGGTGTTCCCGGGTTCCTGGTCGATCTCTTGATCGATCGGTCTCACCATCGACCTCGTCACCCACCCCTCTGTCAATCTCGCGATCGATCTCACAATCGATCTCTCGATCGATCTCACAATTGATCTTACGATAGATCGCACGAGTGTTCTCGCGATCGATCTCACTATCGATCTCACTGAATCGATTTTTCTCGATCAGTCTCGCGATCGACCTTACTATCGTCCTTTCTATCGACACCACGATCGATATCACAATCGATCTAAATATCCATATCCTTATTTTTCAAATCATCAACTGATTGGGCGTTTGTCTGGTGTAAAGTTCTTGTCTTCGGGCAAGGCCCATAAAACTTCTCGGAAGGCCAGGGGACTTCCGAGCCTCCTGAGAAAGGCCCGCCCCTTCTCGCTTCCCCCCCCCGGGTTCGCCGCCGACCTGTGACCCAGAGCTGCGGTGGATCATCGAACTCCAGGCCGAGGTGTGGGCGTTGCAGTGCAGCACCGCGGGGGTGCTGGATTTCCTTGCGGGGGGCCTGCCGGCGCTGCCGGTGCGCGGGCCGCGAGAGGCCGCCACACGAGGCTGCGACCTCCGAGCCGACGGCTCCCGGCCCAACGGCGCGACGCTGGCCGTGCTCGCACAGGCGCCGCTCGGCAGCGGCCCTCCAAAGCCCATGCGGCGCCATGGCGGACTTCGCGACACTCGGCGTATCGGACCGTCAGATCCTCGTACGGCAGGACAACGATCCGAACGGATTCATCTTAACTTTCCACGTGTGGCTCTTCAGGTTGAGAAAGACAGGTGGGTCTGCTTCACGCCGGAACACGACGTGGTCCGAGTCGCGCTGCTGGGCGCTCTGCGTGGGATGCCCAAGCGCATGGCGGTCTCCCCCAGGCATCTTGCCAACCAGGTCTACGCCCATTATCCCATCGCGGGCGGCGTGTACCTCGCGGGCTTCCGGTGGCGCGGGAAGCTTCAAGGCTGCTCCTAGGAGTCGGAACGGTACAAGTCGTGGAGCAGATGATGTGGGTGGTGGCAAAGACGACAGACACCATCTGCGGCGCTGGGCTGGCATCGTGGACGATGACAGCCGAAGCGTCGCTTGCGACAGAAGGGTTAAGTCGGGCGTGTCCCTTTACAGGAGGAGTATGCAAAAATTATGAAGAATAGTCTGGGGACGATTTTCGATAATTGTTGGATCATGTTGGAACATGTTTTGAGTATGTTTTATTGTTCGTCCGAAATCTCCTTGTAGGAGGACATGTCCCACCTAGCAGAAGGGATTGGCGGTGATGGGTGGTGAGGAGGTCCGCTTTCAGAAGATCGCGGCCAGTATCAAGCAGTGGCGAAGCGTCCTTGCGTGCCTATATGCCTACCAAACAATGTTCGAAGGATTGGTTTAACCTTTTTGTTGGCTTCCACGAAAAGTTCTTAGAACAGTTGTGCCTGGGACTGTTGTGTTTGAACAAACCGGGTTTATGTTCTGAGAACATTCGGGGACATGAGGGCCTCATGTGACCACGCCGACGAGGCGGGCCAGCATCGGCTTCGGCTGCCGGGGGCCCCGGCTTGGGTGAGGGGCACCGACCGGCAGGGCTTCCTTGTGACGGGGACCAGGAGCGCGAAGGAGGCTCTTGGGCGCCGCCCTTTCGGCCTTGGCGACATGACGTCGGGCCCGGCGGAGTGGGAGAGGCTCCACGGGGTCGGCGAAGGGGCGGCGGTCAATCTTTGCATCGGAAGTTGTGTGAACTCCCCGGGCTGACACACTCCTGGGGCCATCTCAAGATTTTGGTGTTGGCATCGGCCGAGGTGGTCGTGCGCTGGCTGATCCGGACGGAGACCGCAGTGGATTGGACATCATGACTCGGCCCCTATCAGTGCCGCGAGTTGGGCCCAAACGACGAAGTTCAACACCTGGACCACCGAGCGGCTCAAGGAAAGGGCCACGACCTGGAAGCAGGGGCATTTTTGCTGGGAGTAGCAAAAGCAAAGTCGCAAGGGCGGCGGCAAGGGCGGCAAGGACGATTCAAACATTGTCGCCACCAAGAAGATACCTTAGTAGATGGGCGATGGCGCCAGCGAGGAAAGGTGACCTCCCAACGGTTGCGGGGGAGACCGACCTGGCCGCTTGAGCTCTCCGCGCCCAGGGGCGCGATCGGTCGTTTGAGGAGCCTCTTCGACCTACCTCCGCGCAGCGCTGGATGCTCCAGAACGTCGCCCGGCGGGTCCAGGCTTGCGGCGATCGCCCACCTGATTGCGCAGAGAAAGTCGTAGTTGTCGGAGTTTCTCGGTTGCAGAGACTTCTACTGTGGATGGCGGCAGCAGTGGGCCGAGTAAAATTTCGATACGATGCGTCACCCGTGGCATTGGATCTTTAGCGCTATACATATATATATATACATATATACACATATATATATATATGGACGGATGCCTAATGTAGATTTGCGTACACGATGATATCACGCGCAAGTACACAAAGTCTTGCACATATACTTGTTTAGTTTAACATGTATGTGTAGAGGAGAGAAAGCAACGCACACATAGTTTGGTAAACGTGGAAAGATGGAGAGAGAGAGAGAGAGATAACCAGAGACAGACAGACAGACAGCGACTGAGAATGAGAGGAAGAGAGAGAGAGGGGGGAAAACAACAGTACATGTATATATATAGAGAGAGAGAGTGCGAAAGATAACGGGAGCTTGTGCTCCTTGGTTCGTTGGCCTCGGTTCTAATAGGCACCGTTCGCCGCGTATTCTTTCCCGGTCCAACCCCCATTCATTCTCCCAGCCCGTCCCTTGTCCCCCAAAGCAGTGCTTGCCCTGAGGGGCTCTTGCTGGACATCCCATAAGTGATCCCGTGGGCCCGGCGATGCACCGCCCTGCCGCCCGTGGCCTCTCCGCTGCGGCGCCGTGCGCTGCACGAGCCTGGCGAGGCTGCGCCGTGCTGCTGCCCGCCGACGCCTCGCTGCCAACTCGTGTGCCGGGTGCCTCGGGCGCGGCGTCGCCGCGCCACCGCCCGCGGTGCCACCCCGGTGCCGTGGCCGCGCTGCCGCCCCGCGGCCGCCTCGTGCGCGGGGTGGGGCCGGCGGGGTCTCGCCACGCTGCCGCGCGCTGCTGCCTCGCCGCCCGGTGTCGGGTGGCGGGCCCGGCGTGGTTTCGCCACCCTGCCGCCCGTTGCCGTCTCCTTGCCGCGTCGCGCGCTGGGGTGGATTTGGCGTGGTTTCCCCACCTGGCGCCGCACCACGCGTTCCGCACTTGGTCGCCTGCACTACATCGTTTGCACCACGTAGCTCGCGCGTCCAAGATTTCAATTGATTACTGCATCGGGCCCACGCCAGCAAACATCTGCGATGTCACACGAGGCAGACAGCGAGGCGGAAGAAAAGGGGACGCGCAATCATACGGCAGAGTGTGGCTCCAGCTTGGGTTGACGAAGTTGTCATGTTCTCTCTTTGCTTGGCTTCTGATGCAAGTTGTCTTCTCGGCAAGGTGTTTCTTCTGCGGGAAGACCCTGGATATGAAGGTCAGCGATCCTTGCTCCATTATTCGTTGGAATGACAGGTCAGCATTCAAAATGTTACAAGCGCAAGCGGTGGCACGCATAGAGTTGAAATCCACTTCTATGTTCCATGGCACAAGCGGAAGAAGCAAGACATATTATTGAGAGGGGGGCCTGGCTGAGACGAATCACCTACACCCTCATTCTCCCACCTGCTATCCTTTTCATGTTGCACCTTCTCCTGCTCATTCACTTGCCTCGAGACCTTGAGAAACTCCTTGATCCCCCTAGAGCACTCTAGAGCTTCCTGCGCTCCCTCTCAAAGCCGCCCTGAGCTTAAGGGAGCCAGCGAGGTCGTCCCCTCCGCCCTTTCCCACTAGGTACCCAGAGCCTCCTGCAGGCCCCCGGGGGAACCCCAAGCCCCCGAGAAAATCAGAAACACAAGAAAAGCATACGTTGTGATATGTTTGTCTTGTCTTCGTGCCCCCCCCTCCTCCCCTCTCTGGAAGAAGGGCGAAACCCGTGGCTACTAAAACGGAGCTCCAGGACATGTTTTTTTCCTCCCGGGAAGCAGCCCGTTTGCTATTTAGTGCGCTGAGCTTGATTGCGGGAATTTATTTGTTTCTTCCGGGAAGACCGTTTCAGCAGTTACGGATTTGCCAGCCCTCGCCCAGCTTCCAATCTGCGCCTCCGCGCCCCCCCCCCCCCCACAGGCGTTCTCTCCTTCACCCTCCTCCCCTCCCTCCTCCTCCCCTCTCTTGCGTCCCCGCACCCCCTCACAAGTGCTCTCTGTTCCCACGCCCCACTCTCTCACCACCCACCAAACCACCTCAACCCAACCCGAAGGCTCAGATTTGCCCTCCATTTCCAGTGTGGGGGGGGTCGGGGAACATCGAACAAAACACATGTGGAACCCGTACCCCCCCCCAACCCGAAATTCGGGTCTTCGGGTTGGGTTGGGGTGCTCTGGTAGGCAGTCACTCTCCAGGTCTGGGGAGGAGGTCCACTCCCCTCCACCGCATGCCGTCTCCCCCCCCCGCCAGAATTCCGAAGCATGGTCCCGCTGCGGCGACGAGGGGCTCCCTTCTGGGAGCGCAGACAGAGGGAGCCCACAGCGTCCAAAGACTTCGATCCCCGATCCTCGATCTCAGCTCCTCGATCCTGGATCCTCGATCCTCGATCCTCACTTCAAGATTTTGCTTCCCGATCCCCGATCCTCGATCTCAGATCTTCTCCTTTCCCCTGCTCGGGATCTATATATAAATATGTATGTGTATGTATATATATATATACAGAGCCAGTGTGGCGCCCTGGCTGGGTGTCTCACGATCCTGGGGCCCAGCAGGGACGAGGGAGTCCTTCGCATTAACCCGCACCGATCCCCCGAGGTCGTAGCTGTTTCGCAGCATGTACCCCCCCCCAGACATGAGCGCGTCATGACGGTAGGCTTTTGGCAATTTTCGGCCTTCTGGGTCCCTCGCCAGGCCTCGGGACCGTCAATTAACGACTCAGGATGAAACACCGGTCCTGGGGAAAGGGTCGGAACTTCGGGGGACCCCGTATTGAAAAAATCAAGGCGTCGCATGTCTGGGCCGAGCGCGGGGGGTGAGTGAGAATGAGTGGGCCTTCTCAGAAGGCTGCCGTTCTTCTGAGAAGCCCTCGCGCCCTCTGAGAGGAGTTCCGTGTCTCTGGGGAAGGCTTCGGACATTTCTCGGAAGGCCATGTGATTTCCCAGCCTTCGTAGAAGGCTTGCCCCCTCCCACTTCTTTCCCCCGCTCGCCGCCAACTGGAGGTCTGGACCACGGACCGAGTCCCCGGGATTGCTGTCTCCTCCCGCGCCATGTCTCGACTGCCCTCTGGTTTGGACGCCCGACATGGGTGCCGAAAAAATGGGCACGATGCCCAACAACAAATGTTGTCCCAAACCGACAGCGGCCGCTGTTGGGCAGGCGGCCTCCTGTCTTAAATGTGCACAGGCCGCGGCGACACCGACAGCGAGTCCGTCTCAAAATGAGCAGGAGCCGCTGTTAGGCATCGTACCCATTCTTTCCGTACCCATTTCGGGCGTCCAAATCTGGAGCCCGGGGAGGGCCGCCAGCCGTCGAAAGTTGCCGACACGAAGTTCCGTTGCGATCTTGCGCCAGGGGCCGCAGGAGCATCAACGTCACGCCGCCGCGTGGGCCCCCCCGAGGCCCCCGTCGGCGTGTTATGTCTGTCGCTGTGCGCCCGTCTTTTTGTCGGACGGAGAGCGGGGGAGTAACACGCCGATGGGGGCCCCGATCGGGCCCTGGGGGCCCCCGCGGTGGCGCGACATGGATACTCGTTCTCTCCCCCCCCACTTTGAAGTCGGGCATGTGCCTCTATACAGAGGGAACATTGAAAACTAGCCCAAAAATAGTATGTGGAAGACGATTCTTTTATTTTTTGAAATTATTTTTGACCTCTTCCGCGGCGCGGCGCGGCCCGTGCGCGATGGCCGTGGCCGCGGCGGCCGCGGCCGTGGCCGCGGGGCGTGCCGCCGCCCGCTCGCCCGGCCAGCCTCAAGTCGGGCATGTCCCTCTACGGGAGGAATGTTCCCAGACATGCTCGCGTCGTAAAAGTATCAGGACAGGAGGGTTTTGGCCAAAGTTCGGCCTCGGAGGGCCCTCGCCGGGCCTCGGGAGCGTCCAAAAACGACTCAGGATGAGAAACCGGTCCCGGGGAAAGGGTCGGGACTTCCAGGGACCCCGTCTTGAAAAAATCAGGACGTCGCATGTCTGGGTGTCAAAATAGTCAAGAAATAGTCGGGGACTATTTTTTGTTGGGGGGGGGGCAAATTTGAAAATTTTGGGGGCATGTTTGGGCCATGTTCGATTCTTCGTCCAAAATCCGCCTGCATAGGAGGGCACGCCCGACCTGACTCTTGCCCGGCCAGCCGCGCCAGGCGCACGCGCAGTGCTGCGAGCACCGGCTGGTCGAGTGCACGCTTTGCGGGGTGCCGCGGGCCGGGGGCGGCCGCGACGGGGGGGGGATGACTGGGGGGGATGTCCGAGTGGATGTGGAGTAGAGAGGTTTTTTTTGGAATCGGGCCAGTGAGCCCGGTGACCCAATGGAAAAGATTGCCGGTGACCCCATGACCCGGCGGCGTGGCTCAGATGACGCGGTGACCCGGTGACCCAGTGACAAGAAAAAACAATTGGCTCGGGGGTTTCTGGATATCATGGCGGGGGCCATGATTTTTTCCTCGATTTCACGGCGCCTCGCCTTGTTTCAATGCGCCCCGGGCCCCGCCCCTGGGCCGCCCACGTGACGGCGGCCATGATTTGCGCGCCCCTCTTGGACACCGCCCTCTTGGCCGTCCCCGAGAGGGGGGTGAGTCCGTAGAAAACATGTGAGCCTTGTGCAGCCTCGCAATTCTGTCTTTAGTGTCGATATTCGGGTCCGCGAGCCGCTGGGAGTGGATGACAGCGCCAGTGCAGCGTCGGCTAGCGTCGATTAGCGTCGATGTAGCGTCGATTAGCGTCGATTTGGTACCGACTAGCGTCGGTTCGCAAGAGCCGCCAAGATGGCATGGGAGGCTCCCATGAGTTGCCACCGAAGGAGCAGGGGGGCAGAGGGCTTGGGGGGGAGCGTGGGGGAGGCAACGTTCGGGGAAGCGCAGGCGTGGAGCACAGCCGACCCGCCTGGGAAGGATGGGCAGCCTTCCCAAGGGTACCCTTGCATCGTTGCCCCCTTCGGCCCGTCCCTGGCGACTCTCGCTGGCGGCCAGCACGGGCATCCTCATGCACGGGCATCCAAGGCCCTTGCATTTTTGCCGCGCGTCCTCATGATGCGGGTTGATTTCAGGGCGCGAGGAGTCACGACGGGTCCTTGTCCATCCGAAGTTGAGGCGTTTCGCCGCCAAGTCAGGTGGAACTGGCGTCATTTCCTTCCCAACCATCCTGTGGTGTGGGGGTCCCCGTTTTGAAGAGACGGCGCCCCGCGTCCCCCTCCCCCCGCCTCCTTTTTACCCATCCCCCCTCCTCCCTTTTCCCCCTCCTCCTCCCCCTCCATTCTCCATCCTCAGATCCTCATCATCACCATCACCATCATCACCATCATCCCATGCGTCCGTGCCATCCATGTCGGCACACCCCTCACAAGGTTCGTGGCCCCATAGGGAGCTCCACCGAAGGCCCCAGTGGCAGGGTTTACATGCGTTCCCGCGACTCATTTCGGAGCACCCCTCACACGGTTAGTGGCACATGGGGAGTACCAATGGCAGGGTGTACATGCGTCCCCGCGACAATACATGCGTCCACGCGTCGAGCAGGCGGGCTGCTGAAGCGTGTGTCTTGCATGAATCGCGAGGAAATCTCGAGGGATAGCACGATTCCCAAGTAACTCGTGAGAAAAGCCAGCGTGGGCCACGAAGGGCATAAAATCCGAGGCCACAGAGGTCAGCGACGGGGCCGCTGAGGGCAGCAAAGGGGCCACGACGGGCAGCAAGGGGGCCACAAAGGGTGACAGCGGGGCCACGAAGGGCATGCATATGGGGCCACGACGGGCGCGAGCGAGCGGGGGCCACGAAGGGCATTCGTATACGGGGCCACAAAGGGCGACAGCGGAGCCACTAAGGGCAGCAAAGGGGCCGCGACGGGCAGCGAGGGGGCCACGAAGGGCGACAGCGGGGCTACGAAGCGCATGCGTATGGTGCCACGACGGGCGCGTGCGAGCGGGGGCCACGAAGGGCATATAATGTGGGGCCACAAAGGGCAGCGACGGGGCCACGAAGGGCAGCGAGCGAAAGCGACCGCGGAACCAGTACGGGCAGCGAGGGGCATCGAAGGCGGGCGAAGAGCAGCGACAGGCGACTGCAGTCACTAACGGGCTGGTCGGGCGGGCAGGCCCCGACGGGCGGGTCGAGCGGGCAGGTCGTTGAAGCGTGAGCCCTGCTTGAACCGCCAGGCAGTATGTAGCGGGAGTGCGATTCCTGAGTGTCGAGGACCGGCATCTGAATAAATTGTAAGGAAATATCAAGCGAAGCAGTTCGGTGGTAAGTTGCGAGGAAGTCCCAAGCGAGATTGCGATTCTGCAACAAATTGTCAGGAAGTCTCAGGGGGGCGCGATTCGGTGGTAAATTGCCAGGAAGTCCCGAGCGAGAGCGCGATTCTTCATTAATTTGTGAGGAAATATCAGGCGGGAGCCGTTGTTGTTGTAAATCGGGGGGCCAAAGACAAAGTTTGACCTTCAAGACTTCCCTTAAGTAAAAAACAGGGTGCGAGCCCTGGGAGGGGCACATCGAAAAAATACAATGTGTGGGATCAACAATGATTTTTCTTCAGAGATTAGTGTTCAACAACGAAAACGCAACAAGCAGAATCCTCACCACGGATCCCCACTTCAGCCACGCACCCAAGAACAATGAATGACCGTTCGCCCCCTCACTCAATGTATGATTACATATATATATGTATATACATATGTGCGTGCTCGTATGTATGCATGCATGTATGCGCGTATATATGTAAATATGTTCGATTGCATGTCTATGTGTGTATGTATGTATATGTGTGGATGTATGCATGTACATGTGTATATATATATATATGTATATGTATGTGTGTATGTATGTATGTATGTGTGCATGTTTGGGTGTAACAATGTATGTGTGTATGTATGTGTATGCATGTGTGCTTGTATGCGAGCATGTATGTATGTTCTCAAGAACGTGCATGTTTACATGTACACGCAACCATATATGGAAACATATGTACATGTGTATGTATGTGTGCCTATATGTATGCATACCTTTATGTAGATATGGATGGATGTATGTATGTATGCGTGTATGTATGTTTGTATATACGTCTGTATGTATGGATACAGTTATGCATGCATGCATGTATGTGTATGTGTTCCGGTGTTCCTGCGCATGTATGCATGTGGATGTTTGTATGTATGTATGTATGTATGTATGTATGTATGTATGTATGTATGTATGTGTGTATGTGTGTATGTGTGTACGTCTGTATATTGGTATGTGCGTGAATGTACGTATGAATGTATGAATGCATGCATGTGTGAATGTGTGTATGTATGAAAGTGTGTATGTGTGCCTGTGCGTATGCATGCATGCATGCATACATGCATGTATGTATTAATGGACGCCCCTGCAGGAGACCGCCAGTCTTTGCGGAGCTCCTGGAAGCCCCTGCTGGGCCCAGGCAACGGGCCCACGACGGTCTGGAGGGCGGCCGAGCGGCCCTCCGAAGGCCCCAAGAGGTCCCAGACACCCAGACCCAAATAATACCCCCAAGAGGCTTTCGACATTCAAAAAAAACTTGATCTTCATTTGCTTTTGCATGATTTTGGGAATATGTGTTCTTCGGTCTTCTGGGTGTCCGAGACCGCCCAGGGGTCCCGAAAATCCCATCAACACTATCCGAATGGGCTTCCAGGCATTTCAGGAGAGCCAAACGACGGCACAACAGGGTTCCAAGATGGCCCGAAGAGAGCCCCATAACGGCCCAAGATGGCCCCAAGACGCCCCGAAGCATGGCAAATCGTGACCCGGTCGTTCAGGGAGACCGCGGTTGGAAACAGGAAGGCCAGAGGAAACCCAGAGGCCCCCAGAACGCGCCCAGGAGGCTTCCAGAAGGTGCCAGGAAGCCCTTAAAAACTTTCGTGAGGCCCGCAAGAGACTATCCAAGAAGGCGACTCCGCAAAAGAGCTGAGAAGGATGCGGACGACCTGCATGCCAAATTTCAAAGGCCAAGGTGCATGCCGCGAAGCGCCAATGCAGCCTCGTGTATATCAGAGTGAGGGGGCCGAACGGTCATTCATTGTCCTTGGGTGCGTGGCTGAAGTGAGAATCCGTGGTGATTCTGCTTGTTGCGTTGTTGCTGTTGTTGCTGTTGAATTCTCATTTATGAAGAATAATTATTGTTGATGCCCCCTCACCAGTGCATACTGTTTTTCTTAATCAAAGTGTGCCCCTCGACGCTCGCACCCTTCTTTTTGACAGGGAAAATCTTCCTGCTCAAACTGGGCCCCTGGCCCTCTGGATTACAACAACGGCTCCAGCCTGAGATTTCCTCGAAATTTACTGAGGACCCCGCTCATGAGACTTCTTCACAATTTACTCAGGATCGGTGCTCCCGCCTGTGACTTCTTCGCAATTTAGTCAGGACCCCCGCTCCCATCTGAGACTTCCTCGCTTTTTACTCAGGAAGGGCGCTCCCGCCTGAGACTTCCTCGCAATTGAGTCAAGACTTCTTCGCAATTTCATCAGGACCCCCGCTCCCGCCAGAGAACCCCTCACATGTTATTCAGGAGTTGCGCTCTCGCTTGCGAGTTCCATGCAATGTATTCAGAAATCGCGCTTTCGACGCTCAGGAAACACGCTGCGCCAAGGACGCCGTTACAATTTATTTGGTAATCGCGCTCTCGCCATACCCAGGCATCCCGCTTGAATGTCCCAACCGCCCGACCCGCCCGCCAGGGGATCGCCCGCCCGTCGTGGGCTCCCGCCCGAGACTTCTTTCAGGAACGGTGCTTACGCCTAGGACTTCCTCGAACGTTCACGCTGTTACATTCCTGCTCCGCCTCCCTCTCCCTCCTCGCTCCTCCCTCCTCTCCTCCCTTCTCTCTCCCTCCTCTCTTCCCTCATCCTTATGCCTCTCTGCCCTATCCCCTTTGCCTCCTCTCCCTCCTCCCTTCTCCCTCCCCTCTCCTGCCTCCTCCCTCCATCTGTCTTTCTCACTCTCTCTCTCTCTCACTCTCTCTCTCTCTCTGCCTCTAATCAACCGCCCCCCTCTTCGCTCCTTCTTTCCTGGCGTTTTCCCTCTTCCTTCGTCCCTCCCCCTTCCCTTCCTCCCACTCTCCCTCGATGCCCCTCTCTTTTTGCAGGGCCCACACCAATGCCAATGGCGGGCACATGTACGCCCACGAAGGATTGTCCGCCCGTTCAGGTCTGCCCGCCTGTCTAAGCCCGCCGCCCCCCGCAAAAAGAAGGAATCCCCCGAAAGGGGGTGTGATTGAAGACCAAAGGGCGGGTACCGAGGATGTGGGGAACTCGTTTCGAAGGACACGGACAGGTAAGAGCGAACAGCTATATAATGAAACTTTCATTTCTGAACAATAATAATTGTTGATCTCCCCTCACCGGTGCAAGCTGTCGTTCCTCAATCAAAATGTGTTGGAGGGTGAAAGAGGGGGTCTGCAACAGGGGGTCTTCAATGGGGGCTGAATGGCCCATGTATGCTCAATGTATCGCTCATGTATGTGATCGGGTACGATTGGCATCCAATGCTGGCGGTCATTGGTGGCCAGTCATTCGTGCCCGCGCGTTGCCCGCGCGGGCACACGCGCCGTCCATCCATTATCGTTCATGCGTGCGGGCGTTCTTGCATATTGCGCGTGGGTCGGCGAAGTGGAGTGCAAGTGTGTCTTGATTGTGCGGTTGATGATCGCGTATGTTCCCAAACGATGACTTCTCGACCCCCAAGACAGATTTGGAATGGGCCCCGCGATTCTCCAAAAATGTGAATTCACATTTTCCTTTCTCCCAAAATGTGAATTCACATTCACATTTTCCTTTTTTCCCAAAATGTGAATTCACATCCTGGCCCCTTTCATAAAGAATCCCACACAAAACTCCAACATGTGAATTTACATTTTCCGTTTTTTTAAAATGTGAATTCACATTTTCCTTTTTCCCAAAATGTGAATTCACATTTTGCTTTTCCCACAATGTGAATTCACATTTTCCCCTGGCCTTCAAGATCCCCCAAACTGAGGCGCAGTGTTCCGCATGCCAGATTGGCTGGGCAGATTTCGACACTCACCCGACCGCTTTCGCGTCTTCCAGCCTGTTCTTGTTGCGCTCTTAGCGCACGTTGCCTTCGTCGCCTTTCCCGAGCCCCCCGCCCCCTTGCTTCCTTTCCCCTCAAGTTTCGCGCGCGGGTGCAGACGGGGGGCTTCAATTAGTTTCCCCGCCGAACACAGCAATCGACGATGCATCGCCCATTCATGACTTTAAAAAACATCATTGCCGGGACCCTGCGCCCGACCCCCACTTTCACCCTCCAAGTGTGTCCCTCGACGTTCGCACCCTGTTTTTGGACAGGGGAAGTCTTCGTGCTCAATCTTTGCCCCTGGCCCCCCAGATTGCAACAACAACTGCTCCCATTGGAGACTTCCTCCAAATTTATTCAGGACCCCGCTCCCGCCTGAGACTTCCTCACAACTGATTCAGGATCGGTGCTCCCGCTTCTGACTTCTTCGCACTTTAATAAGGACCCCCGCTCCCATCTGAGATTTCCTTGCAATTTACTCAGGAAGGGCGCTCCCGCTTGAAACTTCCTCGCAATTGAGTCAAGACTTCTTCGCATTTTCATCAGGACCCCCGCTCCTGCCAGAGAGCCCCTCACATGTTATTCTGGAATTGCGCTCGTGACTTCCATGCAATTATGTCAGAAATCGCGCTTTCGACGCTCAGGAAACACGCTGCGCCAAGGACGCCGTCACAATCTACTTCGGAATCGCGCTCTCGCCATACTCAGGCATCCCGCTTGGATGTCCCGCCCGCCCGGCCCGCCCGCCAGGGGATCGCCCGCCCGTCGTGGGCTCCCGCCCGAGGCTTCCTTCAGGAACGGCGCTTTCGCTTAGGAGTTCCTCGAAAGTTCACGCTGTTACATTCCTGCTCCTCCTCCCTCTCCCTCCTCCCTCCTCCCTCCTCTCCTCTTTTCTCTCTCCTTCCTTTCTTCCCTCATCCTTATGCCTCTCTGCCCTATCCCCTTTCCCTCCTCTCCCTCCTCCCTTCTTATTTCCCCTCTCCTACCTCTTCCGTCTTTCGTTTTCTCTGTCGCTCTCTCCCTCTCCCCTCTCTCTGTCTCTCTCTCTCTCTTTCTCTACCTCTCTTATCAGTATGATTATCTCTCTCTCTCTCTCTCTTTCTCTCTCTCTCTCTCTGTTTTGTTTTTTGTTTTCTCTCTCTCTCTCTCTCTCTCCCAATGCCTCTAATCAGCCGCCCCCCTCTTCGCTCCTTCTCTCCTGGCGTTTTCTCTCTTCCTTAGTCCCTCTTCCTGCCGTTCCTCCCAGTCTCCTTCGTTTCCCCGCTCTCTTTTTGCAGGGCCCACGCCAATGCCAATGGCGGGCACATGTACGCCCACGAAGGATTGTCCGCCCGTTCAGGTCTGCCCGCCTGTCTAAGCCCGCCGCCCCCCGCAAAAAGAAAGAATCCCCCCAAAGGGGGTTGTGATCGAATACCAAAAGGGAAGGTACTGAGGGTGTGGGGAACTTGTTTTGAATAGCGCACGGGCGCGTAAGAGCGAACAGTCTTATAATGATTGTTGTTGTTGTTGGTGTTGTTGTTGGTGATGTTCTTGTGTTGTTGTTGGTTGCTGTCGTCGTCCCCCCTGCGACCCCTACCCGCGACCCAACCCGCGACCCATCCCGCGACCCACCCCGCGACCCACCCGCGACCCACCCGCGACCCACCCGCGACCCACCCCGCGACCCACCCGCGACCCACCCGCGACCGACCCACATTGGTTTGGAGAAAAAATCCGTGCCTGAGACAGGCTCGTTGTATAATTTGTAAAACTTTGGCGCCTGCGGCGGGCTTCTCCAGAATCACGCAGGCTGCCGACGTCCCCCACCGCCCCCTCATTGTAATCCGCATCTATGCATGTGTATATATGTACATGTGTATACATGTATACATGTATATATGTATACATGTATGCATATATATATATATATATATATATGTGCACACTATCTTTTTCACCAACATGATTATTGACATTATTGATACTATCACTAACCATACGAATTCGTATTGTATTCACACGACTGCGATTAGTATTGAAACGGGTATGAATAGTAATATTGGCACCACTGATACGAGAACAAAAGACGATCATAATACCATGATCCATATTAATCCTTATAACCCGAGTAATAACACAATTCTACAAATGATGGGCTGGAGTTGTTTTGTATTGGCCTGGGGCCCCGATCGCGAGCCGCGGGGGCCGACGTCGAGGAGGAACGACGTCGGTGGACGGGGAGGCCGCGGCCCGTGGGGGCCCCGCCCCCGCCGCGGAGGCCCCCCCCCCCGCGGGAGTTGCTCCGCGCTCCTTCGGAGCTGCGGGGGCCTTCCACCGCCACCACCATACGTTGGAGGGGGAGGGGGTCCTCCTCCTTCTCCTCCTCCTCCTCCTCCTCCTCCTCCTCCTCCTCCTCCTCCTCCTCCTCCTCCTCCTCCTCCTTCCCCCCTCTCAACTTATGGTGGTGGTGTTGGTGGAAAAGAGGTCCATCATCTCGAGAAGGGCGGACGGCGCCTTCTACGAGTTCGAGAAGACGGGGTCGACTACAGAACTGATGTGCCCCAAAATTCCAGAGTCTTCTCGGTCGAATCCACGGAACATGTGTAGCACAGGTGTGTTGAAGATCCGACGTGGCAATTAATTCTGGGGTACAGCAATTCTGTAGTCCATGCCCTGCTCGCAAAGTCGTTGCTTCCCAGGTGGAGTCGGAGTATATGGTCGGTCGGATGGTCGCACCGCATCGGCGATGCATCGCCGTTGCGGCTCGATGTGGGGCCCGATGCTCTCCATCCCGATGGCGGTGATCAGCGCCGACGTCGCCGGTTCATCGCCAGTGCATCGGCTTGGCTCGCCTTAAAAACACCCTGTTGTTTTCCGCGTTTTCTGCGTTTGGGCATTTGACAGCTTTTTCAGTTTTTCTGTTGAGACTTGAAACGCTAAAACAATAATGTCCAAGACGCCGAGCCAAAAACGCTAAAAAAAAACGCCCTGGCACATTTAAGGCGAACCAAAAGCATCGGCAACGCATCGCCGATGCGGTGCGACCCTCCGATCTCATCTGCTCCGACCCCATCGAGGAGGCCTCTCGAAAGAGGCAGCCTCGTGCTAAGAAGCTTGCCCTCGCCAGCCGCCATCCACTGCTCGCCGAGTGCCTGCTCGCAAACGTCCGAAACAGCAACAAGCGTCTGCTCCGATGTGGTGCTCGTTTTTGTTATCCATTGTTTTGCCGATCGGCGCGGGCCCTGGCCCCCCCCCCATGGAGTAGATCTTGGGTGTTTTTCGGCGCCTGCTTCGAGCGGGGGGGGGGCCCTCCCCCTTAGGGCGCACTGTTGCAAACAGTCGCTCTCAGCAGAGGTCTGGTGCCAGACCCCCCCCTTGCCGCCCAATGTCGAAGGGCCGAATAAGAGAACGCTCACATGTGGTGGATCGCAAATCCCTGCTGGCGGATCCAGACCACTTGCGAGCAGCCACTTTGCGAGCAGTGGAAAGCGCCTGCCTACTCCCAGACATGCGACGTCCTGACGTTTTCCATACGGGGTCCCTGGAAGCCCCGACCCTTTCCCTGGCCGGTCTTCATCTGGAGTCGTTTGTTTGACGCTCCCGAGGCACGGCGACGACCCTCCCCGAGGCCAAACTTGTCAACCACCTGCCGTCCTGACTGCTTCACGATACGACCATGGCTGGGCTTGCCCCCCTCGTCACTGTGCGGCGCCGCCAGAGAGGCGCAGCTGAAGGCCTCGGAGCTCGAGGGCCACATGCGGAGCTGCCCGGGCGCGCCCCCCGGCGGAGCGAGCGGCGCTCGGGGGGCGGAGTCGCCAGACCCGCGCGAGGCGGCGCGGTCGCAGGGCGGCACAGGCTCGGGGGGGGGGGGGGAGAGCGAGGCGGGCGGTGCTGCAGGAGCTCTGGGCGGTGCATCCTGTGCTGGGCGTCGCGCAGCCCCGAGATCCTCGCGGCTCAGCTCTTCCGAGCAGGGCGTGTTCGCCCAGTGTCGGGCCCCGGGGCCCTCACAGGTCGATCCGGCTCGAAAAATGATGCAGAATTTTTGGGTGTAGGGCTCCAGTCGTGATTTCTCACCCTGTTTGAATTTCTCGAGTCGTCGGATCTCAAGGAGGGTGGGTGGGGTGGGATGGGGGGGGGGCGATACCTGGGGGGGCCAGCGAGGTCTGCAGGAGAGAGGCCCATGAGGGTCCCTGGAGGGGCCTGCGGGGCCCCTGGGAGGGGGCCTTTCAGGCCCGAGAAGCGCACCGCTCGGGTTGACCCAAAGAGCAGGTGGTGCAATAGATTTGGGCGAGCAATATACATTCCGGGTCGCAGATGTATTGCTGGACTGTCGTGTGCAATACATTCAATTTGCATTGCAATGCAACCCAAGTCTCCAGCGCAATACATTTGCAATACAATCGCCCCAAATCTATTGCACCACCCCCTTTCAGCTGGACCCCCTTTGAGGTCACCCAAAGCCTCTCTTCCTGCCCCCCCCGGTGCATCGTCCCCGCCATTAAAAGCGAGGCCCAACGTCTGTCCGTCCTCGCCGGTTGCGGGCCCCGGGAGCCGGGCTGGCCGGCCCGGCTCGGAACATGGAGCGGGAGGATGGGGTGTAGATCTCAGGGGCGGCCACGAGGGGTGTGATGGTCAGGGGGGGAGATGTCATGGCCAGGGCCAGGATTTCTCCCCAAAACTCGTGGCCCGCACATTAATGCGTTCCCCGGCTACCCCCTAGGGCCGCGCACATGCCGCCGGCCATGCTTTGCGCCCTTCTTGGGACGCCCCCCTCTTGGACGCCCCCGAGCAGATCAGAGTGAGGGGGCCGAACGGTCATTCATTGTCCCTGGGTGCGTGGCTGAAGTGAGAATCCGTGGTGAGGATTCTGCTTGTTGCGTTGTTGATGTTGTTGTTGTTGCTGCTGCTGCTGCTACTGTTGTTTGTTGTCGTCGTCCCCCCCGCGACCCACCCGCGACCCACCCCGCGACCCACCCCCGCGACCCACCCCGCGACCCACCCGCGACCCACCCCGCGACCCACCCCGCGACCCACCCCGCGACCCACCCCGCGACCCACCCCGCGACCCACCCCGCGACCCACCCGCGACCCACCCGCGACCCACCTCGCGACCCACCCGCGACCCACCCGCGACCCACCCCGCGACCCACCCACGACCCACCCGCGACCCACCCGCGACCCATCCGCGACCGATCCACAAAAATCGGCGCCTGTGGCAGGCTCGCTGTATAATTTGTGAATTCGGCGCCTGCGGCGGGCTTCTCCAGAGTCTCGCAGAATGCCGACGTCCCCACCGACCCCTCACTCTTATCCGCATCTGCGGGGTGCTACGTTACGTAGCACCCCGCAGATACTATCAGATGTTGGTCTTACCTTTGCGCGATGCTGTTTTTTTCGCGCCGTCAGATCTCAGGGCTAGGACCAGTCCCAGAACGTCCTGGAAAGCTCTGAGGCCGCTGTTGCAACTGCAGCGGCGCTCCATGCATCCTGCAGACTTGAAGGGTCTCCAGGGTCCCCGACTTGCCCCGGGCGATTTTGACAGTGTGGTGGCTTCGCCTCAGCAGGTTGTTCCAAGGATTGCAACGAAGGATTGCAAAAAAACCAGGGTTGGATTGCAAAAGAACCCAGTTTTTTTTGCAATCCTAAGAACGAAGGTTTTGTTTTTGCAATCCAGGGTTTTTTGCAATCCTTCGACCAATTGCAATCCTTCGGTTACCAGCGGTGTCTGTCTTTTTAGTAAGTCCTGGCGTTTCTCCACGGCTCCGACCTCCAGGCCCCGCTGTCTGTCTTCCTCGAGGCCCTCGGAAACGGATCTGAGACGAAAGACTACTTCAGGGAAGCCGGCGGCAGGCCTGGGGCTGCGGGTGGAAGCAATCACATCGTCGGGCGTGTGGGCGTTTTTCAGGAAGCATCGAGGACCCCTGGTCGGGGTCTCTGCAGGGTCGAGGAAGCACAAAGATGGACTGTTGCGCGTGAATTCGTGACGGGCCCCGTTTTCTTGCAGAATCGCAGTTCCGTCGCCAAATCGGGTGGCATTGGCCTCATGGTTCTCGGGTGCCTTCCAAAATCCACCTCGCGACGTTTTTATTTGGCATGCTTCTGGCCTTTGGAGGACCCCAGATGACTTCGGTGACCTTCCGGGACCTCTGCGGCAGCCCACGCGAGCAGTCGCAAGGCAAGAACGCCTTGGAGGGTGTAGGCTGCCCACGCCGCCAGAGACTCGAAGAGTTGTTGCTCCTATGTTTGTCAGAGAGTCCAGCTCCTCGCGGCCCTTGGATCTGCAGAGCACCCAGCGATCAGGACCAGGAGCCGGTCCGGGGGGAAGGAGCCGCACGGTCGGTGGCGAGCGAGGGGGGGGGGGGAAGTGAGAAGGCGAAGGACTTCTCAGACGGCTCTGAAGTCTCCCGGCCTTTCGGAGGAGTTCTCTAAGCCTTCCCCGAAGACACAGAAGACTTCTCAGAAGGCCACTGGGCTTCTGGGAAGCCTGGCCGCCTTCTGAGGAGGCCTCTCCTTCGTACTTCGCCCCCGCGCCCGACGCCGATTTTCGTCGCCCTGGGTGGACTCACTTCCGGCTCCCCGGGCAGGGCTTGCATTTCCAGCTGCTCACGTGTTTTATGGGGTGACTCTGCCGGGTTTCCTGGCCGAGGGCGCTCGTTGGCCGTCGCATTTTTGGGCTGGGCATTCCGAGGAGGAGGAGGGGGAGGACAAGGAGGAGGACGACGAGGAGGAGGAGGATGACCACGACCACGACGACGACGACGAGGACGAGGACGAGGACGAGGAAAGGGGGGAGGAGGACGACGAGAAGGAGGAGGAGGGGAAGGAGGAGGACGCGGGAGAGAAGGACGACGACGACGACGACGACGACGACGACGACGACGACGACGACGACGACAACTACTGTTTCTTTCTCTGCAGCAGCAGGCTTGTTGGGCGCCTGTTGGCCGTTCGGCTTCGTGCCCGGCCGTGGGGTGCCTCGTGGCCGGCGCGGTTGTTCTTTTGATTCGTCCTCCTCCTCCTCCTCGTCCTCCTCCTCGTCCTCCTCCTCCGCCTCCTCCTCCTCGTCCTCCTCCGCCTCCTCCGCCTCCTCCTCCTCCGCCTCCTCCTCCTCCGCCTCCTCCTCCTCCTCCGCCTCCTCCTCCTCCGCCTCCTCCTCCTCCGCCTCCTCCTCCTCCTCCCCCTCCTCCCCCACTGCTGTCCCTTTTTGACTCTTTTTGTTGTTGCGGCCCCTTGTGGGGCCGAGGACAGCGGTCCGCTTTCAGCTACTCCCAGCTACTCCTCCGCCCCTTCCTCCGCCGCCTCCGCCTCCTCCTCCGGCGCCCCAGCTTGCCGGGCGCCTCTCCCGGGCGCCTGTCTCGGGCGCCACAGGCCCATAGACTCAGGTCGTGTCCCTCTACAGGAGGATACCTTAAGGAGTCCCATGGAGTTCCGAAGGGATCCTATAGATATCCTAAGGAGTCCTACGGATTTCCAGAGGATTCCTATGGATTTCCGAAGGACTTCGATGGGGTCTTGAGTTATTCTTACGTAGCACCCCGCAATTGCGGATAAGAGTGAGGGGGCGGGCGCGGGCGACGCGGGCGTCGTCAAGCCGGCGGACCTCGTGGCCCCCACCTTCCCTGTCGATGGCCCTCTCCTCCTCCTCCTCCTCCTCCTCCGCCTCCTCCTCCTCCTCTTCCTCGTCCTCGTCCTCATCGTCATCGTCGTCCTCCTCCACCTCGTCCTCCTCCTCCTCCTCCTCTTCTTCCTCGACCTCCCTCTCCCCCCCTCGTCCTTCCGTCATCGTCCTCCCATTGTCGTCATGTTCTTCCTCGTCGTCGTCCTCCTCTTCCCCCCATCCCGATCCTCCCCCCTCCTCCTTTTCGTCGTCGTCGACGTCGACGTCGTCGTCGTCGTCCCCTTCCTCCTGCTCCTCCTCCTCCTCCTCCTCCTCCTCCTCTCCTCCTCCTCCTCCTCCTCCTCCTCCTCCTCCTCCTCCTCCTCTCCTCCTCCTTCTCCTCCTCCTCGTCCTCCTGCAAAAGCAGCCCGCCGCAGGCGTCGAAAAATGTGGTTTGTACACTGAACGTGGTTTGGGTCGCGGGTGGGCCGCGGATTCTCCACCGGGAACGAATGTAAAAGATGCCCGCCGCAGGCCCCGTAAAATTTGGTTTGTACCCTGAACGTGGTCGCGGGTGGGCCGCGGTCTCTCAACCTAAAACGAATGCAAAAGATGCCCGCCGCAGGCGCTGAAAGATGTGGTTTGTACCCTAAACTTGGTTTGGGTCGCGGGTTGGTCACGAGTTCGTCGCGGGGTGGGTCGCGGGCTCTCCACCTGGAAAGAATGCAAAAGAAGCCCGCCGCAGGCGCCGAAAATGTTGGTTTGTACCTCGAACGTGGTTTGGGTCGCGGGTGGGTCGCGGGGTGGGTCGCGGGGTGGGTCGGGTGGGTCGCGGGTGGGTCGCGGGTGGGTCGTCGGGTGGGTCGCGCGGGTGGGTCGCGGGGTGGGCCGCGGGCGGGTCGCGGGGTGGGTCGCGGGTGGGTCGCGGGTGGGTCGCGGGGTGGGTCGCGGGGTGGGTCGGGTGGGTCGCGGGGTGGGTCGCGGGGTGGGTCGGGGTGGGTCGCGGGTCGCGGGTCGCGGGGTGGGTCGCGTGGGTGGGTCGCGGGATGGGTCGCGGGGCGGGTTGCGGGTGGGACGACGACAACAAACAACAACAACAACAACAACAACAACAACAACAACAACAACAACAACAACAACAACAACAACAACAACAACAACAACAATTACTAGCACGTGGGGACACTCCGTTCTCACCAGTGCCAGGGTTTTCATAGGAGGCGGGCAATACCCCCACTTTGTGGGGGGGCCGGTTCAAGCTCTACCAAATTTCCAAACGACTCTTCGCCACCACCCACACCCAGCTTCCCGCCCTATGACGTTCGGACACTTCACTTCGTGGCATGCGGACGACCGTGGCTACTATTCAGGGCCCCGCGGCCGACGACGACGGCGTGCGCGCGCGAAGAAAAAACGAATGTGTCCCGCATGGTATTATTTGACAGGGATGATGGCCCTGGCAGGTGCGCAACCGTTGTTGCAGAAGTTCGAAAAAGTTGCTCGCAAAAGCCCGTTTGACAGAAATGTTTAAAAAGTGTTGGGTTTCCTACGAATCCGCAAGAGCGCGCGGGATGAAATTTTGACATTTTTTTTGAAAAACCATTGGTTTTTTGATGTTTTTATGTTGAAATCGCTACGAAACTAAGGTTTTGGAAGGATTTCGTCTTGCGCGCGCGAATGTCCACTTTACCTTATTTTTTGCAAGGGATTCTTGAAATTTGATTATATTAGAACAAGAAATGTCATTTTCTATTGTTTTTTGCAAGGGAAAGCGGATTACAACAAAACAACCGGATCCTGTACACACCCTCTTTTCTGAGGCTTCCTCACGAAAATGATGAAAATGTAGCTGCGGCCTAGGCGGCGCAGGGGGTGCGCGCACCAGGGGGCCCAACAATAATTATTCTTTAGAATACATAATGTTCAACAACAACAACAACAACATACAACAACAAACAACAACAACACGAATCCGCACCGCGGAATCCCATTTCAGCCACGCACCCAGGGACAGTGAATGACCGTTAGGCCCCCTCACTCTGATGAGCGTTCAGGATCTTCTTGATCATCATCATCGTCATCATCATCATCATTATGCTGAGATCTCCAGGAAAACGTTTGTTATCCTGCCTGGGCCCCGAACTTGATTACCCCCAGGGGGTTATGGTCGTGAGGTGTCCGCTATGCACAAATAGTCAAAAACTAGCCTGGGGACGATTTTTGCGACAATGTTGGGCTATTTTTGAGCATTGCTGGAGTTTTGTTTCACATATATTCTTCCTAATTCAGCCGGCAGGGGGACATGCCCGACCTGAACCTAGCCATGATCGTGTCGTGCAAAAGCCAGGACGGGAGGAGTCTGGTCATTTGCGGTCTCGGGGGGCCCTCGCCGGGCCTCGGGGCCGTCAAAAGATGACTCAGAATGAAAAGCCAGTCCCAGGGAAAGGGTCGGGCCTTCCGGGGATCCCGAATTGAAACAAGCAGGACGCGGGGGCCCTCGCTGGGCCTCGGGGCAGTCAAAAAACGATTCAGGATGAAAAGCCGGTCTACGGGGAGAGGGTCGGGCCTTCCGGGGACCCCGAATTGAAACAAGCAGGACGCGGGGGGCATTCGCCGGGCCTCGGGGCCGTCAAAGAAACGACTCAGGATGTAAAGCCGGTCCTGGGGAAAGGGTCGGGCCTTCCAGGGATCGGGTCATGCTTCGTCCAACCTCTGCCTGTAGGTGGACATGTCCGACCTAACTTTACCCACGGGCATTGCGCCATCTCCAGAGGAGGAACAAAAAGTACCCATACCGCTACTCTCAGCCCGTTTGCCCCGTCGTGGGCCTCCCGGGAGGGCCTCGTCGCTACGGCTGGGTTCGCCTCGAAGATCCTGGTCCGAACGCACCCCGGGAAAGGTCCGGGGAGTCGCAGTATGGGTGTTATCTGGTCTTCCCATGGCCCGCGGGCATTGCACCATATTGCGTGCACAGCATTGCTTGCACCCCAGATAATACACCATATAGCTTACTGACTACGACTCAGATTACACAGCCTGCACCACATATCTTCCACATCCAGAGTTTTCGAGCTCACTGCATGGGGTCCACGTAGGGAACTATTCTAGTCATCATGCACCTTTGATATTTCCGAGGGTTGATTTTCGACACCCGACATCCAATAGCCAGAACAGATCGCGCACTTACTGCACCGATCATGGCCAGAAGTCCCCCGGGACCAGGCCGTTGTCAACTTCCCCCGGCACTGGTCTTGAAGTCGGCCTCGGGCCTGTTTGACAATCAAGATTTGCTGGGCACCATCGCGCGTGTTCCTCCTAACCGAGGTTCTACGCGCGGGTTCGCCACTGTGCTTGGAGCCGCCGTTTGAGAGTGCCCAGGGTTGGCGCTGCGTCTGGGGGAGGGGGGAAATAAAAAGTTGTCCTGGATTGGTTGGCCGTGACTGGTGTGGCCGTTTAGTTGGTGTTCGCCTCGAGGTGATGCTGAGCAAGGGGGACCGCCAGGCCAGCCACGCGAGTGTCCGCCCGATGGTGCAGACACTTCCGAGCAGCTGGAGTCTCCGGCGTTCGCGTTCTGAAACTGCTCTCCTCTCACTTGCAGCCCGTTTCGGGAAGCATGGCCTGTACCCGCGGGTGCAGAGGAAACGAGCTGCAACCCTCGCTGAGTACTCCTGGCTCTGCTCTTAGGGCAGGTCAAGAGCCCTCCCAGGGCCCGTCGGAGTTGTGAGTGCGCAGGTGTACATCGCGAAGGCGGCGGGGCAAAGGACTCAGCTTGCACTCTCGGCTGCAGAGCTGCATGTCCTGTTTCACAGGTTGGCGCTCTCCCCTAGCCTGCTCCGCACGCGGTTCTCCGAGTGACCCGATTCTCGTGTGCAGCATGGTGATGGGAGAGGCGGCTTTTCTCCACGCGGCGAGGAGAAAGAGGCGCGACTGTCCTGCCCGCTGCTGCCTCCGAGTTCCGCCCCCTCCACCCAGGCAGGCTGTCTCCCCTTGTCCCTGCCCGCCTGACAACCCGCTTGCCGTGTCCCGCGAGGCCCGGCCTCTCGCCTGCGCGTTCGTCGTGGTGTTTTCGCTCCTCCGTGCTTACCATCCCCCATCTGTGTGACCGGGCAGAAGGTCAGACTTCTGCGAAATCGCGTGATTTCCATCATGAGTTCCGTCACTACGCCGAAGGTAGCCAGGCCTCTCATTGTGGCAACAGCCTCCGAGGGGGAAGAGGGAGAGCTAGTGGAGGAGGGACGCGGGGAGGAGGAGGTGGAGGGAGGATGGAGGAGAGGGGCGGAGAGGAGAGAGAAGGAAGGGGACAAGCTAGGTACGCTCGCGCTACGTCTGACATGCTACCCCTCCACCCCGTTCCCTTCACATTGCGCTGATTGCTTCTATATCTGGCGATGCTTGTCATAGCGGACTTGGAACTCCGAAACAGACTCGATCGTGCTATGCGCAGTTGGACAAGGAGCCGACATAAGCCCGACAATGCGAGAATGTGAAGACCGTTAATCAACCTAAGAATTATCAATGAGTTTGGCTTTGTCGGGCCCTGTCGGAGGCCTTCTTATGACCGTTTTGGGCGCTCTTGGAGGCATCTTGGGCCGTCTTGAGGCCATATTCGGCCGCCTTTGGTGCCATCGTGGCCCGTCTTCGAGGCATCTTGGATCATTTGGGTGTCCTCAGTTGTCTGCATACGCCATCTTGGCATCGTTTTTGAACGAGGGATCGTGGCCTCGGGATGGCAGGGGGTGCACGCGACAGCGCGACGAGAGGGGGGATCCCTTGCTAGAACACAGACGCCCTCCTAGAGGGCAGCATCTGTGGGCACAACTTGTTGGACACTCTGGCAGGGACAGGGCTATCTCGCGAGAGAGGCAGACACGAGCGTATCTGGGGGCTCCAGAGTCGGCCGCGAATTCTTCGTGCATCGCCGAATTGCTGCCTGAGGCTCTTGGGGGGCGGAGGGTGACGAGGACGAGAAGGGCGTTGCTTGCCCGCTGCAGCTGCCGAGCCGCCCTCCGCCGCCTCACAGCACTGTGCCGGCCCGCCTTGCCCGGCCCCCCTCCGTAGATGCGGCAGTGACAGGCTGCCCTGCCCCCCTGCTTGAGGAGGGTGAGGAGGAGGGAGGGGTCTCCTCCGTCCCCCGCCCGCCCTTCCTGTCCTAGCATCCTCCCCGGCTCCTTCCCATCCCTGTGGGGGCTTCGGGATGCGATCTCATTGCTCCGCTCCCGCGGCTCCTTCGACGCCTGAAGCGGCTGTCGCGGTGCTCCGCACCACATCTGCTTGGACGCTGTGTGCCTCAAGACGCGCTGGGGGCCCGCTCCACGGCCGAGAGGAGGGAGCGAACACTGTGCGGTGCTCCTCCTGGGGAGCGCGGAGCACGTGAGGGGTGGGCCATGTGGGTTGCTTGCGGGGTGCGTGGGGGCCCCCCTCCGTCGGAGCCCGGGGCGTGGCCACACGCCGTGCAGGGTGGGCAGCGGGTGGCGGTGGTGCGGGGCGCGGGCCATGCCGCCGAGGCCCTCTGGCGGGGCTCCGAGCACGGAGCGCGTGAGTCAGGAGGGGAAACAGACACACAGACACAATGAATCGTCGATTCCCCAGAAAAGATGGGAGAATACGGGCAGTGGGGGGAGAGACAGAAACACGGAAGGTATTGGAAAATATGGGGGATCTTTTCATTCGCGTGCATTTTGTTGTGTGTCCCAGGGCCCCTTCAGTGAGGGACGAACACAGCTCCGGGTTCTGAAGCGATCTGCAAATCCTGCCGTCGGTGCCTTAGTTTGGATTCCCAGTGAAGGCGCTGTGCGCGTGGTGGGTGGCCCATTCGGGGCGGCATCGTGGCATGGAGGGAATATGGTGCAGGCAGGAGGGAGAAGTTGGCATACGACATGGGAGCGGCTGCGCTCGGCAAGGGGGCAGAAGGAAGGGGAGGAGGAGGAGGTGGAGGAGATTATTTTGCAGCTCCCCATGCCATCCAGAATCGATGCCCAGGCGGGTTGCCCTGTCCAGGAATGTGGAGGAGCATGTAGTGCAGTCGAGGGCTGGGGAAGCCATCGTACCCAAAGGGGGCAAGATGGAAGATGGAGGAAAAAGAGGAGGAGGAGGAGGGGGAGGAGGGGAAGGGGGAGACGGGGACCGTCTTCGGTATTGCCTTCGGCGGTGAACACCATGGTGAAATGACTGCAGGATTATCTCGCATATCCAGTTCCTTACAGCTGGGTGGGTGTGTTGCTGGTAGCAGATTGTCCCCTTGTATTCGCGAGTGCCTTCACCCAGCTTCAAGTAATTGGGTGCGCTGTGCGTGCTGCATGTTGAGATCGCCATTTCAATTGCAATGGTGGGAACAGGGTGTGCCGGCCATCCGTACATTGTTCCGTGCAGCATTTGGGATATTGGTTTCCAGATTTGGCGTGGCGGCGGCGTGGCTGAATTTACTTTCGTGCATGGCCTGTTGATTCGTGTTTGTATTGTGTGCGCTTTCAATCACATGTCTACAGGTATATACTTGGCAGCATGGGCACTGTGCGCTTGCGTAGCAGTCACAGAGACTTCTCTGTCTAGTACGAGGTAGCACTGTCATCGACAATTATCTGGCGTTCTGTTTAGTTAACTGCGAACGGGAAAAAGGAGGAGGAGGAGTAGGAGGAGGAGGAGGAGGAAGAAGAGGAGGGGGAGGAGGGGGAGGAGGAGGGGGAGGAGGAGGAGGAGGAGGACGAGGACGAGGACGAGGACGAGGAGGAGGAGGCGGAGGAGGAGAGAGAGAAAGGCGGAGGAGGAGGAAGAGGAGGAGGAGGAGGAAGAGTAGAAGGTAAGGGGAGGAGGAAGGAGGAGGAGGAGGAGGAGGAGGAGGAGGAGTGCGAGCAGACAGGTCAGAGGCCGTTTGGATGTCTCTCGGAGTCCTTTTTTCGGGTTGATCCTCTCGAGGTAATCTGAACTGAACTGAACTGAACAGACTGGTCGCACCCCCTACGCGACGGTTTTATTCTCGGCCGCCAAGGGTGCAACATATAGTGCAACCGATAGAGAAGATACTGAGAGGAGTGGCTCCTTCGGGGAGGCCACTCGCGTAATGGTGTCGCGGCGGGCTCCACTTCCTCATCTGAGCTGCCGCCCGCGTCGCCTGCTGCGTCGCCGCTGCTCTGCCCTGTCGAGGTGCCGCCGTTTGCGGCGTCTCCAGAGGCGGCCAACTGGGCTGCCGTGTGGCCCGCGGCGCAGAAGCTGGACGTGCGCGTTGCGCGCACTCAGGCTGCTGAGTAAATTCTCGTCCAACGAGGGCGCCACCTATGGCGCAACCGATCGGAGACGGTTTTATTCTCGGCCGCCGAGGGCGCAACTTATGGCGCACCCGATGGGAGATGGTTCTATTCTCGGCCGCAGAGTGCGCAACCTATGGTGCAACCGATAGGAGACGATTCTATTATCGGCCGCCGAGTCCGTAGCCATTTTGGCTCAAGATCATGCTTCCCCCCGAGGAGGACACGGATACCGCTAGTCCGCGGCTCGCCCGCAGTCTTTCTGCCGGCGCCACTGCGCTCAGCAAACTCACCCTGCTGTGTCTGCTGACTGTACTCGCGTGGGAGCTGACGCCACGGCGGAGTATTGGAAGTGCAGCTGCGGTGAGTTCAATACCAAGGGCCGACGGACTTGCAACAACTGCGGAGATGCCAAGCCACCGCCTCGTCCGTGGAACGGCTTGCCGAAAGGAGCCGAGTTCTGGATGCAGCGCAAAGGGCAACAAGGTGGATGGAAGCCCTGGACAAAGCAGGGAGGCGCAACGCAGGCACAGCGTCAGCAGCAGCCTGCCGCAGGAGCGATCCTGTCGCCCAGCGGCGTCAAGGAGTGGTCCGAGCTTCCAGCATACATCTACGAGAAGACGGAGGGCGCCCTGTCCCACTCGTCCAGGCAGAAGGTCGAGTACGCCAGACGGGCTGCTGCTGCTGGGCTGCTTGGCGCTGCTGGTCGAGAGGCTCCTCAGGCCGTCGACAAAGCCGCCGGGGCCCTCCAGAACGCGAAGGACCGCTTGGCTAGCAACAAGGACAAGGCTCTCAAGCTACTGGAGGCGGTGTCAACCTCAGAGGCCGAGGTGGCTAAGTCGGAGAAGGAGCTCGAGTCTGCGAAGCGGAACGCGGCGAAGCTGCATGGTGCATGCGCGCCAGCAGCAGGAGCGTTCACGGCGCAGCAACTCAAGGCCAAGCTCGGAGAGATCCCCAGGGATGGCATCTCTTTGGCCGACGTCCTCAATTCCTTCCAGGCTGCGGTCGACGAGCTCGACAGCGCCTGCAGGTCGACCGAGCCGCACCAGCACGAAACTCATGCAGCACAAGAGCCAGCCCCCCCTGAAGGAGCAGCAGCTGGAGGTGAATCGGCCGCTGCCGATGGCGGACCAGCGCAAGGGACTTCGCCCGACGAGGCTTTCGAGGCTTTCATGGCTGGCGATGATCCTGGTGGCCTGTTGGGTCTTGTCAGGACGAGGGGGGGCGCAAGCGGCTTGCCGAGGCAATGGGGGCCATCCGCACCGCCAAGCGCTCCAAGATGGCTGGAGGGTAGCTCTACCCAGAGGCGGTGGTGGACAGCGCTCACCATCAATGCCAATGCCTACAGCAGGTCCGAGGCGCTGCTCGACGAGAACCAGGTACGCAACGCAGACATGATTGCGGTGCAGGAGACCCACCTCTCCGACTTTCGGTGCGCAGAGGTGACGGACAAGCTCAAGAAGCAGCCCCGCAGTGGGCACGGGCCCAGGCCTTCACGGCCACGGTGGGCTGCTGCAGCTGGCGCCGCGCGCGCGCGGCCTCGGCGCATTCGAGATGGAGAGCGGGTTTGTGCTCTTCCCTGGCAGGGCGTGCGTCGCCCACTTCGCTGGCATCGTGCCTGGCGGAGTCGCCTGGTTCAACGTCTACCTCAAGGACAGCGAGGGCATGTCCGACTTCAGCTACCAGGTGCTGCAGGCCGTCTACCGCGCGGCGAAGCAGAGTGCCAAGCCCATCATCATCGGTGGCGACTTCAACCTGGGGCCGCAGGAGCTGGCGGCGCCAGGGTTTCTCAACGCACTCAAGCTCAAGGTGGTCGCCCCCGTCGAAGGCACCTGCCGACCTGGAGGGCGCATTATCGACTACTAGGCCATCAGCACGACCTTCGGCGTAGCAGAGGCCAAGGTGCTGCGCGGCTGGAACTTGGCGCCGCATTTCCCCGTCCAGCTGAGGGTTGGGGCAGCACCTTCGCCAGGGAGATGCAGACCGTGGAGATCCACAAGCGCCTGCCCTGCCCGCTGCCCGCCGCGCGCTGCAGCAGGGGCCACTCAGCTCACTGGGGGGCCACGCGACAGGCCATGCAGGCCACGAGATCGCTCTCCTCGCGCTGGCAGCTGTTCGTCTACCAGGCCGAGGGGAACATCATCGACGCCGTGGGTTTGGCACACGAGCACGACGACTACGCAGGCCGCGGCGCCAGGCCTCGCCTCAAGATGGCCAAGGTTGCGGTACCTAGCCCGCCACGCATTCCCAAGTGTTCCAAGGCCGCCTCCTGGCACAAGAAGGTGGCGATAGCGATCGAGGATTGCGCGCAGGTCGACTTTCCCCTCCGTCGGCTTCGGGCGCTGCGGGTCCTCAGCAAGATGACGGGCGACGAATGGGTTCAGACCACCGACCAGCACAAGCTGAATACGATCACCATCTTCGCAACGCTGGCGGAGGCCACGCCTTCCCTGGACATTGGCACGCTGCAGGGCATCGCTGCCTACGTCAATGAGGCTGCTGACAAGCTAGTCCAGAAGGAGGCCGACGCGAGGCAGGCGAGCTACAACGACTGGGTGATCGACCGCCGCACTAGAGGCACGGGGGCCCTCCACGCCCTCACCAGACCTCCACAAGGCTGGGCTCCCCGCCCTGCGGGAGCGTCCCCCGGGGGCTCTCCTCCCACCCTCCAGGAGACGGTCACTGCCTTGGTGAAGGAATGGTCTGGGTATTGGGGCCTGGGGGGCCCCACCTCCTCCTGCGTCAGCTCGCAGGAGGCCCGCGTCAACTGGCCCGACGAGCTCGGCGAGAGGCCGCCCAGGCCCACTGTCGAGGAGGTCAGGAAGGTTATCGATAGCTTCAAGGAGGCCACGGGCGCGTCCTTCGACGCGCTCAGGCCCAGGGAGTTGCAGCTAATGGGCGACGAAGGCATCGAGGCCCTGATCGACCTGTTTGACGTGATAGAGCAGAGGTGCGAGTGGCCCGATTTCGTCACCAAGATGGCCTTCATCCCCATGGCGGACGGAGGGCTTCGCCCCATCGCGCTGCTGGGGGCCATCGTGCGCATCCACGGAAGGTTGCGCAGGCCTGTCGCGAAGCAGTGGGAACGAGAGCACGACAGGCCATATTGGTGGGCCAGCGCGGGCAAGAGCTGTGACCGTGCGGTGTGGCAGCAGCAGGCCAGGGCCGAGTGCGTCCACATGATGGGCGCGCACTACGAACAGCATGGCTGGGCCTCGGCGATGCTGCACAGCCAGCTCCTGAAGGTCTGCCAGGCCCACAGCTTCCCGCTCTGGCTGGCCAAGCTGCAGATCAATCTGTACAGGATGCCCCGCGTGGTCTGCCTGGAAGGCTGTTGCTCGGACGAGCTGATGGCGATGCAAACGGTGCTGGCAGCCGATGCGTTCGCCACGACTTTCATGAAGGTGATGCTCCGCGCGCCGTTGGATGCGATGGTGACCAAGCACCACGCGGTAGTTCCCGCAGTGGTCGTGGACGACTTGGCGATGCAGCGCTGGGGCGACACCAGCAGAGTTGAGAAGGACCTGTTCGCCAGTACCAAGCTCCCGGTCAAGGAACTCAGCAAGGTGAAGCTCAAGGTCGCTACGAAGAAGTCCAGGATCCTCGCCAGCAGCGCCAAGTTGAGGAAGGGACTTCAGGCCAAGCTCATCAAGGCATGCGGTGCTGGTGCAGTGGCGAGCGTGCGCAACCTTGGAGTCGACCACGCTGAAGGAGGGCGGCGTGCCAGCGCGGCGCGTAAACTGCGCGTGGCCAACGCCAAGGCGAGGCCCCCTCGCATCAAACGGCTGCTGGGGCTACGGCGAGGCCGAGCAGCCGCGGCCAAGGTCGCCTTCGCAGGCCTCATGCCCAGCATAATGTACGGGGTCTCTTGCACTGGGATGTCGGACAGCGAGCTCAAGCACGCCAGGGCGCTGGTCGTCAAGGCAATCGAGGCAAGGCCGCAGGGCAAGTCCACAAGTTGCCGCCTCGTCCTCGGAGGGCCGGGCGAGATCGACCCGATGTACGGCGCTACCTTGGCGCCTGTCTGCGCCCTCGCACGCGCGCTCTGGGAAGGCTGGGTTCCCGCAGGAGTGCTCAAGACAACCTTCGACGGCTTCGCGGGGCACGTTCGCAGATGGAGCGAGGTCCGAGGGCCCATCTCTGCGGCAGTCTTGTCGCTCAGACGCGTCGGCTGCGACGTGCGCAGCTTCGACCAGTGGCGCAGGCACAGCATTCGCGAGACCATCCCATCGACATCACGAGCTCCTCCCCCTGGTACATCAAGCAGGTGCTGCGCAAGGACGCGCAGGCCTGGCAGCTACGACAGCTAGCGGCAGACACGCACGAGGGTATCACCTACGGCGCTTTCGCCCCACAGGTGCGCAGGTGGCTCAGCACGGGCAAAGCCTCCACCTCCGAGGGCCGCAGGTGGAAGTCCCTAGACGACAAGCAGAGGGGCTGCGTGAGGTCTCTGCTGGTGCACGGACAGTGGCTCAACCAGCGAAGGTTTGAGGCAGCGCCGAGGATCGCTCCTTCACCACAATGCGAGCTACACCCGCACTCCCTGGGCACCGTGCGGCACCGACACCTGGAGTGCTGCGAGAGCTGGCCCAGCGTCGAGCTGCCCGAGGAGCTGGAGAAGTTCAAGCAGTTCGAGACCAGCATCACGATCAAGACGCTGTTCGAGCGGCTCCTGCTGCCCGAGCCCAGCCACGGCTGGCGCCCCCCGCAGGACGACCTGCTACAGGGGCTGAGGTGGCTCAAAGGGGATGACGACCCTTTCAACAACACCGAGCTGTTCGCCGACGGCTGTTGCGTCGAGGCAGGCACTTCGCTGGCTATGGCAGGATGTGCAGTAGTCGAGTTGCCGCCTGGGCCCGAAGGAGAAGACCCAGGCAAGGGATCGAGTGTCAAATCTACGGGCGCCCCTATGCCTGGGCCAATCCAGTCTATCCACGGCGCGGAGCTGCTCGCGCTCTACGCGATCCTCAGGCACCCGCCCCCCCCATCACGGCCAACTTCGACGCCGAGTACGTGGTCAAGGGCTTAATGGAGAGAGGGCGTGAGGCCACTACCTCGCATAAGTCCGCCTGGGGAGAGATCTGGCGCAGAATCTGGCAGGCGCTGGACGACTTCGGCGACCTCAGCACCGACGGCCTCACGGTGCGGAAAGTCAAAGGCCACGCGACGTTCAAGGACGTGGACGAGGGCAAGACCACTCTCCGCAGTCGGCGAGGCAACCACGAAGCTGACCGAGCGGCGAAGTTTGTCACCGAGCACTTCAGGGCGCCGCTGCAGACGCGCGAGGCCAGGATAACAAGGGCGGTCACTTTGGACGGTGCGATCTTCTGGGTTTCGCAGGCAGGCGCCGAAGCTGCTGACCTCAGGATCGGCTTTCGCGACAAGCACAGGGAGCCCGAGTCCAAGGGCCCCAGGCTCAACATCACCAAGCACGAGCTGGTAAAGATCAAGGGGGGAGCAGAAGGCGTCCAGGCGCTCCACTGCCTGCGCTGCCTGCGGTCGGCCTTCACTGAGATCTCGACCAAGAACCTCCCGAGGCAGAGCTGCACGCCAAAGGCCTTCGCCCCCGACGCCTACACCAGCGGTGGAAAGAAGCGGCCGCGCACCTCGGCCCTGGCGCACGCTGGTGCCGCCGCGGTGGCGGTCGCAGCGGCCCGCCGCTTCGTGGAGGACGAGAGCCAGCCCACCCTTGCCAGCGGTGAGGCATGCTGTAGCGTGGCGAGCTCCCCCTCCGATCAGCATCGTGGCGAAAGCCAGATTCTGGGATCCGTTGGTGACGGAGACCTGCGTGCTGACGAGGGCTGTCAGCATCGTGGCGAGAGCCAGATTCTGGGATCCGTCGGAGACGGTGACCTGCGTGCTGACGAGGAGCAGCCGTCGGCGGGCTCCTCTTCCTTTCAGCATCGTGGCGCGAGCCAGATTCTGGGATTCGTCGGTGACGGTGACCTGCGTGCTGATGAGGAGCCGCCGACGGCAGGCGGCGGGGATGCCAAGGCCCAGCCTGCTGCGACGCCGCCCAGCGGCTCTGGCGCGATCGACGTGGACGGGGGCGGCCACGACCTGCGCACTTTCTGCGGGAACCGCGTCTGCCTGAAGTGCTTCCAGTACGCAAAGGAGGTGAAGGGCAAGCACAGGGGGCTCGGCCTGGCCTGTGCTCCAGCGCTCAAGCCCAGCGCCCAGGCGAAGCGCAGGAGGAAGGCCGAGAAGATCATGAGAGGAGTGGCTCCGACTGGGAGGCCACTAGCGTGACGGCGTCGCGCCGGGCTCCACTTCCACTGAGCTGCCGCCCGCGATGCAGCTGCGTCGCCGCCGCTCTGCCCTGTCGAGTTGCCGCCGTTTGCGGCGACTCCAGAGGCGGTCAACAGGGCCGCTGTGCGGCCAGCGACGCAGGAGCTGGACGTGCGCGCTGCGCGCACTCAGGCTGCTGAGGAAAAAATTCTCGGCCGCCGAGTGCGCAACCTAAAGCGCAACCGATCGGACACGGTTTTTTTCTCAGCTGACGAAGGCGAAGCCTATGGCGCAACCGATAGGAGAAGATTTTACTATCGGCCGCCGAGGGTGCAACCTATGGCGCAACCGATCAGAGGCTGTTTTATTCTCCGCCGCTGAGGGCGCAACTTGTGGCGCATCCGATAGGCGACGGTTTTATTCTCGGTTGCCGAGGACGCAACCGATAGGAACTTATATTATTGTAGTGGCCTCCGGCCAGAGCCGCCGATCCGGGACGCTCCGAATGATGATGATGATGACGATGATGATGATGACGATGGTGATGATGATGGTGATGATGATGAAGTTGATGCTGATGTTGATGATGATAATGGTGATGGTGATGGTGAGGGTGAGGGTGATGTTGATGATGATGATGATGATAATAATGATGTGACGATGGTGCTGGTGATGGTGATGGTGATGGAGGTGGTGATGATCCCGGCCCCCCTCCTCACCTCCCCTCTTCTCTCCTTTCCCTCCCCCCCCTCGCTCTCCTGTCCTTTCCCCCCCTCTCTCCTTTCCCTCCCCCCCCCACGTATGTCTCTGTGCGTCCTCCTCCTCCTCCTCCTCCTCTTCCTCCTCCTCCTCCTCCTCCTCCTCCTCCTCCTCCTCCTCCTCCTCCTCCTCCTCCTCCTCCTCCTCCTCCTCCTCCTCCTCCTCCTCCTCTCCTCCTCCTCCTCCTCCTCCTCCTCCAATCCCCCTGCTGCTCCCGGCCCCGCCGCCCGACCGCAGAGCACCTTACCCCCCGCGATGGGCCGCGCGCGCCCGCCGGCGGCCGCCTGGCTGCTGCTCTGGGCGGCGGGCCGGGGGGCGGCCGCGGCCCAGGCGCGGGGCGCCGCCGCCGCCTCCGCCGAGGCCCCCGCGGCGTGGCATCGCTCAGACGACGAGGGCGACGAGGAGGAGGAGGAGGAGGAGGAGGAGGAGGAGGAGGAGGAGGAGGAGGAGATGGAGGAGGAGGACGAGGAGGAGGAGGAGGACGGGGAGGAGGAGGACGGGGAGGAGGCGGGGGGGACGGGGGCAAGGAGGGGGACGACGAGGATGACGGGGAGGAAAGGGTACCCCTCCCTCTGCCCTCCGCCCGTTTCCCCCTCTTTGGGCCTCATCGGACGCCCGCGTCGCCACCGCTGGATTCGCCTCGAAGTTCTGGCCAGAACGCACCCGGGGAGAGGTCTGGGTAGTAGCGGTATCGGTGGTACCTTTTGGTCTCCCCAATCGCGGGGGCCCTCTCTTTGCAAGGGCGAGCAGAGCAGCAGGAGTCGACGGGGAGGGCGAGGAGGGCGAGGAGGACGGGGGCGGGGAGAAGGGACGGCGAGGACGACGAGGGCGACGAGGAGGAGGAGGAGGAGGAGGAGGAGGAGGAGGAGGAGGAGGACGGGGAGGAGGAAGGGGGGGACGGGGCAAGGAGGGGGACGACGAGGATGACGAGGCGAGAGCAGTGGCGAAGCGTCTTAGCTTCCCTATGGAACCACCACAGGATGTGCTAAGAACCGCTCCTGTGGCTTACACGAGCACTGTTATTCGAGCATGTCTGGCCGAGACCGTATGGTTTTAGCACACCAGCTGGAGGATGTTCTAAGAACATTGTTTTTTTGCCCTCAGATCTTAGAACAGTCTGTTCTTCTCAGAACATGTCCTGGTAGGCCTGTATGGATGCTCCGATCGAAGGGACCTGGGGCGAGGAGGAGGACGGCGAAGACGGCGAGGACAGGGGGGGACTCCGCAGAGCCCCCCCGGCCCCTGAGGTCCTTCTGCGCCCGCAGGCCTGCCATTTTCCAAGACCCCTTTTGAGTCAGGAAGGGCTCACGACGGAAGGTTTTTTTGCAATCTTCGGCCTCCGGGGGCCCTGGCCAGGCCTCGGGACCGTCAACAGAACGACTCAGGAGGAAAAGCCGGTCCCAGGGAATGGGTCGAGACTGCTGGGGTGCGACGTTGTGCCATGTTCTAGCCAGTGTCCAGTATCCCCAAACAGCGATCGGTTGAGCCAAGGTGGCTCCAAAGAGCGGTCGCGCGTTCTCTTGCTCCTACTCCGCCTGCTCCTTCGGCGTCGTCGTCTAGCGTTTCGTGATCGTCGTCGCCGTTCGCTTCCCACGCATCCACGTAATTCTCCTTACCGCCCTCGCCCTCTCCCTTCCACTAGGCCGACTCCTCCTCATCCCCCTTCTCTCTTCCTCTCGCTCTTCCTCCTCCTCCTCCTCCTCCTCCTCCTCTTCCTCCTTCTCCTTTTCCTCGTCATTATCCTCATACTGATCCTCCGGGTCCTCCTCCCCCTTCTCCTCCTGCTCCTCATTCCCCCCCTCCTGTTCCTCCTCCTCCCTCCCCTCCTCCTGTATCTCCTCTTCTCACTCCTCCTCGTTTCCATCCTTATACGAAATTACCTCGTGCTCCTGTTGCCATTCCTCCTCGTCGTTTTCTTCCACCCTCCTCCTCCTCCTCCTCCTCCTCCTCTTCATCCTCTGCCCCGTCATCGCTCCTCCTTGTATTTTTCCTCCTGCTCCTCCTCCTGCTCGCCCTCCTCCTTGTATTTTTCTGTTTCCTCGTGCTCCTCGTCCTCCTCCGCTTCGTAGTGCTCCTCCTCCTCCTCCCTCTCTCAGTTCTCCTCCGCCTCCTCCTCGGAATGCTCATCCTCCTCCTTCTCTTTCTCATCCTCCTCCTTATGTTCCTCCTCGTCGTTCTCCTCCTCCTCCTCGCTTCCCTCCTCCTTCTCATCTTCCCCCTCCTCTTCCTCTTGCTTTTCCTCCTCCTCCACCTTCTTCTCGTCCTGTTCCTTCTCCTCCTTCTTATCCTCTTCCTCCACCTCCTTATCCTTTTCCTGCTCCTCCTGCTTCTCCTGCTCCTCCTCCTCCTTCTCCTCCTCTTCCTCCTCCTCCTCCTCCTCCTCCTGCTCCTCCTCTTCCCTCCTCCTCCGCTTCCGCCGCCATGCCAGGGATGCTTTCGCATTCCCGGTGCCGCTTCCAGGAGGCACCCTAGTCATGGATGCCCTGAAACAGGTAGCCTAAGCCCGGCCCCGTCTGCCGCCTCCATGATTCCTCTCGCGCAGCATCTCGGAGCTCAGTCTTCCTCCTCTTCTTCTCCCCCATCGTGCCTCCTCAAGGCATCGCCACGATTTGCTCCAGCATGGCTTCCCCTCTTCATCAGCCCTGGCAGTTTACCGAGGAGTCGTGCTCGCGCCTCGGCGCCAGCGCCCCCCCCCCCCGTCGGGCCAGGGGCGCCCAGATTTCTCCCAGAGCACATTCGGACAACAGACGTGTACACAAATGGTTCGTTTGGTGCTGGGAAGTTTGTAGTTTTACTGATACCTATGGTTCCCTTAACATAGAACTTGGTAGCGTCCAGAACCCGGACAGCAAAGAGGCACTCACACTCGAAAGCTTTTCTGGCGGGCTCTGGGAAGCTCTCCTGAAGCGCCTTTGAAGCGCTGCCAGGCACGCTTCCACGCGTGCCTGCACGCGTGCAGGCACGCGTGGACGCGTGCCGGAAGCGCTCCCGGACCAGCTGCGAGGTTTTGCAGGTTGCTGCGGCGAACGTGGAGCGCCGTGGAGGAGCTGCTGGCGGGCACCACCACCGTCCGGCTACTAATGTAAAACCCCATAGCTCTCAGAGAGCTCTCCGGGAATCAGACTGTTTGGGCGATGACCTGAAATCCTGCAGCCTTGTGTTGCTCAAGAGAAAGAGCAGCCCTCCCCCTTTCTCCGCGACGGGGGTGGGGGGGCACGTGCATGGTAGCGACGCTCGCTTGAGGTACGCGGGCCACCTCCGCATTCGGCGAGCTCCAGGATCCCCATCCAGGAGACCCAGCGGCGGAAGGGCCGCGGAAGCAGCGGCGAGACGATCCGCGCTGCTCTACAACGGAATACCCCTTGCTGCCCAGAGCTGCGGGAGGACCCGCGCCCTGGCATGGAGGTCAGACAGAGGGTTCGACTCGAGCCGTCGAGCAAGTTCAAGGCTAAGCCTGCGAGCAAGCGCGAGGCGGAAAAGGCCAACAAACGCGGTGGCAGAACCCCAGAGACAAGAGCCCACCGCCAGAACCGAGGGAGCGCCTGGAGGAAGCTGGCCGAGTGTGGCGACGCCGCTCAGCTTACGGAGGAAGAGCGAGCAGCGGTGAAGCGACAGCTCGCGCTCGATCTCCAGCGCCAGTCTAAGGCCGACTAGGAAGATGGAGGGTCAAGTGCGAGAACTGGTCGAGCAGGTGCCGAGGCTGACGACAGAGAGTCAGCAGGTAAGGAACGAGCTTCAGCAGCGAGATCTAGCAATCGCCGAGATGCGAGGTCAGCTTCAAGGACATGCCGACAGAGAGCGAGGGCGCGGCGGCGAGGTGATGGACCCGAAGATTCTTCACGACGTGAGACCGTTCGACGGTCAGAGAGCGAGCTGGGAGACGTTCAGCTTCCAGACGGAAGATATCGACCTCTTCTCGAGAAGTGCGAAGATGCATCGCAGGACGTGGACAACGTGAACCTGTCATCCCTCGAGGAGGTGCTAGGCGCGCAGCTGTACTTCGCCCTGGCGCTAGTCATGCCCGAGGACTCGGCTGGGGACATGATCGTCAGGAACAGCAGCTTGCTGGAGGCAGCTTCAGAAGAAGTGCAACCCAAGCGAAGCAGGCAACGTGCTGGCGATGTGGATCAAGCTGACGGACACGAAGTTCGAGGCAACCGACGACGTGATGGTGAGCACCAGCAAGTTCGTTGAGGACATGACGAGGTGCCAGAATATGTAGGGCGAGCCCGTGCCGGATCCCATCAAGAGCGGATTCCTCACCAATGCGCTCAAGGATCACGCGGAGTTGCCGAAGCAGGTGTTTCGGAACCGCAGTCGGCGAGCCGAAGTCGTGTCAGCGCTGACGGCGGAGCGAGCGGTCCACGACGATCCGATGGACATCGGCGGGAAGAAGGGCGGCAAGAAGGCGCGGAAATGCCGCGGCAAAGGCAAGGAAGGCACGCGCAAGGAGAGGCAAGCGATCCCAGACGCTGGCCAGGAGTGCAACTACTGTCGCAAGAAAAGCCACCGAAGCGCCAACTGGCGCAAGCCGATTGCCGACGAGAAGAAGGCAGCCGCCAACCACGACAACAAGGACAAAAATCAGCACAGGGGAGACAAGGTCAAAGAGAAGAAGAGGGTCCCGGCAGCTGCAGTAAAAGATCTCGAGAGGTTGCGCCAAGCAGGAGTAGCTCCAGCGACGGGGTCGACGATGGGCGCGCAGCCTCTGCCAGGGGCGCGCAGCAGTGCCGAGAGCGCAGTGACATAGCCCGTCACCTCGCCAGTCTGCAGAGGGCTGCAAGCGAAGATGATTCTGGGCCTGAGGGCCGAGGTCACACAGCACGAACCCACGGGATCGATTGAATTTACACCCTGTCCGCCTACCACGAGTTCATCTGCATCTCAAACAAGACAATGTTCAGGGGCAAAAGATGGCACTGCGAAGAGTGGAAGCTGGACTTCTGCGGGACGTGCGCAGAATACTGCCTGGACAAGCACATGCACTCGAAATCCGACGTCTTGTAGCTGCTGCGAGTCAGCCGCGGTCGGACCCGCGCTGCTCGAGACTGGAGGCCTACAGGAGCAAGGATTAGAAGGTGATCGACTGCGGTTAGCCCCGCTCCGTAATTCCATCATTCTCGACTCAGGCGCCCAGATCAGCGCCGCGCCGAGAAAGCAGGTTACCCAGTACAACTACACGCCGGCGGCCAGCAACGTCGTTAGCTTCAAGGGCATGGGAGGCGAGGAGATCGAGAGGTACGACCACGTGGAGCTTAACCTGTCCAGAGGAGGAGAAGTAATCCATATTGGCGAGGAAGTTGGCGATGTGGATCACCCCGTTGTGGTCCAAGGTGCGGTAGTGCAACGGGGCCAAAGCG